GGGTGATTTAGAACTGCACCCTAGTTGCTCCCATAATATAAGGAAATTGAAATTGAAACTATAGGCCTATCCCTTCCAAAGTATCCGATCGATTCTTGGAAACTTTTTTACATGGCCCTTTTGTGGTCTGCTGGTTTTCAGGGAAAGGAGGCACGAGTGGGCCTAATGATAGGCACTTGGCGATATTGGCCAATATCGAGTACTGTATCGACTAAGAGAGCTCAGTATCAACAAAGATAGTAAATAACAAGATGGGCCACTCAGCCAAAAAAGTGTCCGCAGGAAGTTCGCTCTTTGCTTCAGATGGCGCTGTAGTCTGTTTTGAAGCTCTCTTTCGTTTTTCCAGAAGAAGAATAGGAATAGCACCTCCTTGCGTGCGCCGATCGACTGCTGTTCATCAGCAGTTCGGGTTCGTTCAGTGCGGAGTTTTAGGATTTTTTTTATTTTAATGACCTCTCGCCTTTCATTCTAAAGTCAAATCAAACGAAGAAAACAATCACCTTTTCCTCCGGAAGAGGTTTTATGTCAGCGTAACCATTTTTAAAAAAGCGTTCTTCCTAAATTCATTCAAAAACTTGCTAGTTTCACTTTAATTTTTTTAACTCAAGTAGGATAACTGTGTTCGCAAAAGGTGCGCTTTTGCGAAGAGGGCGCCACCGAATTTTGAGGACACTTTTTTAATTGGCTCAAAGAGAGAAGTGGCCCCTCTTGTTATGTAGACTATTTGGTACCAATAAGTACCGGGTACTCATTACATGTACTTATTATGGTTCGAACAAAGGGACGTAATTTAAGTGCATTTGCATAGGATTTAACCAGAGAGTATTTAATTATAGAGAGCGGAAACGAAGCCTCTTTTCGCGTATCCAGGTCACCAGCTGATCGTGAAACGAGGCGCGGTAAACAAAGCTAATGGCGGCTGTCGGCAGTCGCAAGTCAGTAGTCACCCGCAAGTGTAAATGGTGTTCTGCGACAGTCTGCGTCCGTGCCAATTCAAGATCGCACAATTACCAGACCTAGCATTCTTTAGCTTTCCAAAGGACCCTGAAATGTAAGAATTTGCACATGTACTTTTTCATTAACCTTATTTAATATCGTTTTTCTCATGTGTAGATCTAGGCTTATCTTGGCCTAACTAGATTTAGATATCTAGATCTAGACCTAGATCTAGATCTAGATCTACATCTAGAATCTAGATTTAGAATCTGGATCTAGATCTAGATATAGATATAGATCTAGTCTAGATCTATATCTAAAATACCTAGACTCTAGACCTAGAATCTTAGGGATATAGATATAGATCTAGATCTAGATTAGATAATAGATTGTAGATCTAGATCTAGATCTAGATATCTAGTATCAGTGTCCAGGTCCTAATTAGAACTAGTCTAGGTCTAGAGGGGCCTAATGTAGTGGGCCTAGTGGGTGTACTAGGACCAAATCTAGATCTAGATCTAGAATCTAAATCTACCTTTGGGCCTTATTATCATTACATAGACCTATTATAATGTTTGCTTCTACTACGTACTCCTTCCGCTACTTCTTCACAACACAGGCGACAGTGCAGTCGATTAGCCTAGTTCGTCCCGTCATGCCAGTGCATGTGCAGGAGGACGAAACATTGTTAAACCTTGCTATACTAATACTAGATCTAGATCTAACGAATAATACACGTTTTTCTGGGAGGGGGGTATGATCGTGGCCTCTGGGTTACAGTGTTTGCCTCTCATTCAATAGGTTTGAAACATGACAGGGACAGACAATTTTCTTCTCTTCTCTAAAGTTTTCTCTTTTCACCTCCCAGCTCTTTGTTCTGTCGTCTGTTTTCCTCCTCACTTTCTGCCCCCCCGCCACACACACACACAATTTTGCCTCCTCCTCTGGGGCTGCTGGCTCTTTCTGCAGCCTTTAGCTACTACTACTGCCACTCATTGGCTCCTTTTATCTGAATGCTGTCTTTCAGTCACGGATGGTCTTATGGTAAGTACAGTCCGTGCCGGCTTTAAGCACGCCGGCTTAAAGCACGTTTCGGACTCAAGCACGCTAAACGGCTCTTACCGAATTTTTACTAATAAATTACACGCCTTTAAGCACGGTAACTTCGGCTTGAAGCACGCTTCATTTACAAGACAGTCAATATTTTCAAGATGACCCATCGAAGTTCGAACACAGTCTACACCGCAGCAGTGGAGTGTGTCAATGTCAAGAGAAACACAAAGAACGCAAGTGATGGACACATAATTCGACCACAAAACAAAAACAAACAAGCGAAAAAAAAACCTACCACGGCGGGTGTCTAAATTAACTAAATAACAGTGCACACTTTTGCGGGACAGCTATGGGCCTACTTACAAAACAAAGGGAAATAGCACA